ATAATAATCAATTGTAATATGAATGTTGAACAACTATTTTTGTAATTAACACTAACAAAATTCAATAATTTGAAACAAATTGAAATTTAGTGCATGCAACATATTTAGTCATAAATTTACATATAATTTTTCACTTAAAATTTCTTTTTGATATGTATCTATCATAAATATGATTGAACAGTTGAAATGACCTTCCGGTTTTGCATATTTGGAATATTATACTCAAGAGTATAAATATATTGTAAAAATAATATTATATATATATTCTTTTCGTTCAAATAAAAGTTTATAATATGAAATCACACATTGAAACATCATTTTCCTTGAGAGTTTCGTGCAAAAAGAGAAATAAATACACTAACCTCAGAAGTAACCGTTTCAGTATCAGTAACCGGTTTCATCCTACAAGTCACAAAAGTAATAATAATTCAAGATTTGAAGAGAAGATAATACTTGATCGGCGTATAAAAACGGTTATTTTATTCACAAATAATACAGCGTGGCGTTTTTCATTTGAATAAAGTTTCAGTTACCTTTTTGATCTTTAATCATACGAATCTTGAAACATATAAATGCTCTAGACCAATCTGGCTAGGCAGTTCGAAATAATACAGGCAGTTTTCGCAGCTCACATAAACCGATTTAGACCAGCTGTGGCGGGAACTGCAGTTGGACTAAAGTCTTAGATATATAAAATCTAGAGAACCAAGTCAGAAGGAGAGAGGCAAACTGGTAATAGAGTTTCAATGCTGCGTCCAATCAAAGGAGAAGCAGTTTGTAACTCTCTCTCTCTCTCTCTCTCTCTCTCTCTCTCTCTCTCTCTTTCTGAGACTCTCTAATAAAGCTCATGGCTAGAGAGAACATGCCGGTTTTTTTCCTGTTATTGTCGAAATCCATTGTTAGTTTGGGAACATCCATTTTTAGTTTGGGAACTATAGTGACTACATACATTTTCTAACACGAACTGATTAGAGAATGGATAAAATCACTGAAAGTAGATGTGGTTTGTATCTGTACTGTATTCCACAGAATAGAAATCCGATTCCGATTATCCTTCCTATATAGAGACTCTCTAATCAGAATCAGGGAGTCGATTCTGTATTTTCAAACAAGATGAAAATTACAAAAGCGAGCAAATTCACTAGGTGTTGACCAATGAAATAATCAGTATTCTAGTAAATTCGTTCACTTTTATAATGTTTACCTTATTTCAAGATACAGAATTGATCAGAATCTCTATTCTGTAAGACCTGTTCTTCAATACGTATGTATTGTCGGCGTCGGATGTCTTTTCATGTCGCATAAAAAGAAACAATTGATCATGATTGGTTAATTTCTTATAGCATGATATACGACAACATTTCCCGACTGATTCTTCTATTTTGGTCCATCAAACGCTTCAAAGCATTTAGAGATTTTGACCACAGCCTAGGCCTTACTGTCTTTACAATGCCTGCAAACAATTGTTGTTACGCAGATATATTATATGGTGAAAAAGCGCAACGACACTGATTGTCAGTAAGCGTACAGACAATTACAGAATACCGCTTTTGGCTACAAAAAACAGAGTTTTAGCTCCTGCACAAAACGTAGCAACGCTTGCCACACAGCGGAAATTATCGCATTAAATAATCAATAATTTTATATTCTTAAGTCAGTCTGACATTTACAGCTGCGTTCACACTTTGACGAACACTTGGCCGTTAATAATGCGCAAATAAATATAGGAATTCGCAGTACTAATAGACGATACATTTCGCTTGTCTACTTCTGTCTTTCCGCAAGTTTCTGATTGGCTTCCGCTTTTCCGCTTTCCGTTTTTCCGTCAAGGTGTGAACCCGGGGCCTAAAGATATATAGTAAGGGCAAGATCCAATTTTCCATTCAGTCGCGTATATTTAGCGTATATTCTTGGTGGCACCAATCCCTATCAAAGCAGAGAACCTGCAGTTTTCTCCGTTACTGCAATCGTGATATAACACTTGCTTAATGACGAGACACTATCATGTCTTTTGAATAGTTGATTTACAGCAAGTAATTTTATGAAGCAACTGTGGATGTATCTGACTGATCATTGATTTGATGGAAGATTCTGAAAACTTAAAATTTTTTTTATCTCCTTTTTTTGTTGAGTAAGCGGTGGTTCTTGATACTATTGATACGGTATTTGGTCACCAAAAACATGGCAAACTCTGAAAATTCGTCTGAAAAAGATGAAAGGTGCTGATGCTGCTTGTCCCTACTATCCTTCCTTATACCAGAGAGAAACTTGAGAAAGGACATAACGGTCCAAAATCTGTAACCGCAAAATGCTACCGCATACTACTGTCCTCTAATAAAGTGAATGTAAACTACATAGCAACATCCACTTTTCTTAGGACACATCCACTTTTCTTAGGGTACCTCGTCCATTTTTCAAGGCTTTTTCAAGGAGATGATAAATTGATATTTGATTCATATAATCATGTTATATATAGCTTCATCACGTTACTTCATAAAATTACTTGCTGTAATCAACTATTCAAGAGACATTTTGCAGCATTTTGCGATTACAAGTTTTGGATCGTCATATCCTCTCTCAGGTTTCTCTCTGCTTATACTATGACTTCATCGTGCAAAATTTCTAAAAATGATACTATTTCCGCGCAAAAGTTGGATTGCTTTTGTCGCGCGATGGAAATTATATATCTACTACTTCCGAGCAAGCGAGATGATGATTTGCTAAATTCATACTGAATCCGATATGCGTTGTACGACATTCTGCAATCAATCAGAATTTTGGTGTTAATAGAAGGAATAAGGAATTAGAAGTAAGGAATAACGATACCAATTTATCAGAAACCGTGTGTTTCGGTGTATCCGATTTCTGATAGAGTGAAATCTTTATTCTTTATTCCTAATTCTGTATTCCTTCTATTGTGGCTGCACCTTTTTATTTCGAATCGATAGCCCAGTTTCCATCGAAGGTTTAAACGGATCAGAATGTAAGAATCAACCAACTACAGTATTCCCCTGTTACAATCGAACGACAAATGCTCGACTGTAGTTGGTTGGTTCTTACATTCTGATTATCGGTTTAAACCTTCGGAAACTAGATACAAAACAAATCAAGCAATGATACAAAGCAAAATCCTGTTTTTTGACTGATTGCAGAGCATCGTACGACGCACGTCGAATCCAGTATGAATTCAGCAAATATCGCGCCAACTTCCGTTATGCGGCAAGCGTTGCCGCGTTCTGTGTGCAGGAGCTATAATTTCTCCGTATGCTAGCGCCAACTGGGAAAGTAAATGTCAATTACATAGCAACATTCACTTTTCTGCTGTGATCTGCTGGTGATCTTGAAATGAGATGAAAATTTCAAAAGTGAGCGAATTTACTAGAATACTAATAATTTCATTGCTCAACATCTAGTAAGTTGTGTTCTGTAAAGTTGCTTACTTTTTGTAAATTTCACCTTGTTTAGAGATACAGAATCGACCCTCTGCAGAAAAGTGAATGTTGCTATGTAGTTGACATTTACTTTCCCAGTTGGCGTTAGCATACGAGGGAGTTTCGTGGATCAATAGTTCATTCAGGGCTGCGTTCGGATTTCTATCTGAGTACTCCCCGAATGTTAAACACGGATGATATAACACCCGGGAATCCGAGTTGCTCATTTTTGTAATTTTCACCTTGTTTGAAGATACAGTATTGACCTCCTGCGTTCGGATTCCCGAGTGTTACGTCATCCGTGTTTAACATTCGGTAAACAACAAGGATGATATGACATTCGGGGAGCACTCAGATAGAAATCCGAACGCAGCCCTGAATGAACTATTGATCCACGAAACTCCCTCATATGCTAGCGCCAACTGGGAAAGTAAATGTCAACTACATAGCAACTCACTTCACTTTTCTAGGGGATTGATTCTGTATCTTGAAACGAGGTGAAAATTACAAAAATGAGCGAATTTACTAGAATACTAATAATTTCATTGCTCAACATCTAATAAAGTTGCTCACTTTTGTAATTTTCACCTCTTTTCAAGATACAAAATCGATCACCTGCAGAAAAGTGAATGTTGCTATGTAGTTGACATTTACTTTCCCAGTTGGCGCTAGCATATGGGGGGGGCGAAGTTTTGTGGATCAATAGTTCATCTAGGGCTGCGTTCGGATTCTTATTTGGATGCTCCCCGAATATCATATCATCCTTGTTGTTTACCGAACGTTAAACAAGATTAGCATAACACTCGAGTGGGAATTCGAACGTAGGAGGTCAATTCTGTATTTCCAAACAAGGTGAAAATCACAAAAGTGAGCAACTCGGATTTTCACCAGGGGAGCACCCAGATAGAAATCCGAATGCAGCCCTGAATGAACTATTGATCCACAAAACTCCCCCGTATGCTAGCGCCAACTGAGAAAGTAAATGTCAACTACATAGCAACATTCACTTTTCTGCAGGGGATTGATTCTGTATTTTGAAACGAGATAAAAATTACAAAAAGTGAGCGAATTTACTAGAATACTAATAATTTCATTGCTCAACGTCTAATAAAGTTGCACTTTTGTTATTTTCACCTTGTTTGAAGATATGGAATCGACCCCCTGCGTTCAAAACGCCAGTCCTGGATGAACTATTGATCCACGAAACTTCCCCGTATGCTAGCGCCAACTGGGAAAATAAATGTCAACTACATTTGCAATTGTTGAAAAGTGAAAGTAGTGACAAGAAAGTGAGAGTAGTGAGTTTTTTATTCGAAATAATAAGAGAAAAGTGAAATTTTTTAAACGCTGAGCAACAAGTAGTTTTATGTTTGACTAAAAAATTATATAGAATGGTATCTAAGGATTAGCACTTTATTATTTTGAATATATTATCCTATGACGATAATATTTTCATTATTTAATATATTATATTCTATTAAATTTAAAGGCACTTTTGAATTTTAAAAACGGAAAGAACATTCGGTAGAGAAGACAACAAAATTCTACTAACAATAACATGTAAATTCAGAAATTGAAACAACTTAGGAATGAAACAAGTATCTGGGAACAAAGTTATTATTTTCAAATCAAATACATCATTATTTAATATATCTAGTTTAAGATTCTATAAGTTTATTTAAATCTTGCATAAAACCAATAAAATTAGAACACATTTAAATCTTTATAGTATAATTTTCTCTTAATATTGAGTTGAAGGAAAAGTTCTGCGGTATTTTGTTAGCTCAAAATTATATATATAATATCTTTGTTAAAAACAAATAAAATTTAAATTAAAAAAAATGATTTTAAAGCTTGAAATCTGTACTTTTGAATGATATATTTTTTGACTATATTTTTTTAATTTATGTGAGTTTTCTAATTTTTATATATACAGAAAATTACGAGCTGAAAAAAAAGGAAAATTTTTCTTTTTACTTTGTGGGTAAAAAAAAATTTGCGAAAATTTTCGACTATCTATATTGTGAAAGTTTAGGGTTTTCCTTATAAATCGTTTTTTTTTTTAAATATTTCTACGATTTTTTATTCTCGAGTTATTTGCGAGTTAAGCAAAAAAGAGCATTCTGATTTTGATTGTTCATAACTCCTAACTAAAAATCATCGTACCGCAATTAAAAAAA